TGCCTCTGGAATTCACCTAAAAAAAGAGAAGGTTGCTGGTTTCTGTTTGCTTGTTTGGCAGTCCCATGTGTGTCAGAGTAGAACTGTGGTTCCACAGGGTTTTCAATGGCTGATTTTTCAGAAGCAGATCACCAGGCCTTTCTAGGTACCTGTGGGTAAACTCAAAACTACAAGCTTTCAGTTAATTGGCAAGCCCCTTATCCAATTGCTATAATATACTAAACCCACTGCCATCAAGTCAATTCCAACTCATGGCAACCATGTAGAACAGAGGAGAGCTGCTCCATGAGGTTTCCAAGGCTGTTAAACCTTTACAGAAGCAGACAGCCCCATCTTTCTCCCTCGGATTGGCTGATGGGTTCTAGCCACCAACCTGGTCAGCAGCCAAGTGCTTAGGCACTGCCCTACCAGGGCTCTTTGGCTATAATCTCCTGGCTGCTGATTCAAAAGACAAGCCTGTCAAAACAGTCTTCCCAAGTGTGAGAAGCAGAGTTTTCTTAAGGAGTGATACTAAAATTGGTAAAGAAATCATCATGTATATCAACTTTGTTAATCTAAGAACAACTTTCATGTATTCATGACATTAAAGCATAATTTTTTATTGAAAAAAAAATGGTTGAAGTTTTTAAAAGGAAGAAAATAGTCACATATTTTCCTAGCACCGTAACATAATTATTTTCATTTCCCATATTCGCTTCCATTATTTGTTATTATGATCAGTAGGTACAGGGTGCTTTTATAAACTTTTTCTTTTTTTCGCTTGAGATCTTATCTTTATAATTATCATACTGAATGTCTGGGTTGCTGAAGTGTGATTTCTTTAATGGTTTACCCAAAGAAAGGAGAACATTTAGTTGGTTTCTTGTATTATGTTCTTAGAGATAGTAATATATAACTTTGGCATTCTTTGCAAGTTTTTTTTTTTAGCAATAACTCCCAGGAATGAGATCCCTGGTTCTTGATATGTATTACCTTGCTAATTTTTTAAAAGGATGATACCAATTTATGGTGCCACTAGCAGGGCACCACAGAAGATAGGCCTGGTGATCTATCTGTAAGCTTACAACCATTGAAAACCCTGTGGAGTACAGCTCTCCTCTGCAACACATGAGGTCACCGTGGGTCGGAATTGATTCAATGGCAATGGGTTTTAGCAGGGCCTATGACTATTCCGTAGAGATACTGCCTCGGAAACCCAAGAAGGGGTCGCTATGACTCAGAAACGACTTGATGGCAGTGAGTTTTTTTTTTTTTTTTTTTGGAATCTTTATGGAAGCATGGACAATAGCTTTCAGATTGTAAAGGTAGGTGCATGCCTTCATAAATTATTTCTAAAACATAATTGAGCCTTACAGTACGATGGGAGTTATTTTTTTTTTTT